GAGGCAAACAGAGAACAGAGCTCAACAGCCCAGAACCTTGGCATTGGATAGAGCCTTAGAAAAGGCCAGAAAATTCTTAGTCAAGAACCAGACCCAGAGAGATGAACTAATCATTTTAATAAGGACCCCAGTGTAAGAGCAGCGAGCCCCACAACAACCCTCAGAGGGTTTGAAAAATTTGTTTTCCATTTCTATTTTAAACCTGCAGTTCCAACACGTATATGGGTTTTGATCTGCTTGGCCAGAAACTCAAGGTGATAACCAAATTATTGCAGCACCACACACTGAGAAGCCACTGCTGATTAGCTGTACTGGAAACTAGGGTAATGAGGTAAAACTCAGTGCTGCTGAGACTGCGGTGAAACTGACAATGTATTAGGCGTTACTGATGACGTGGCTCCTACACTCCAGCTGAAAACCAGTGTGACGACGTAGTTTCAAAGTCATAAGGATAGTCCATTTCTGAGAATCTTCTCCTAAGAACAGACAGCTTTCAGTACACCTAAATGCAGCCATTTTAAAGGAAGGGCTGTGGAGACCATGCTGTGCAGGGTAAAGTCAGAGTTTAATGTTGATGCTTTTTGTTCACCCTGTGCATCCATCACTGTGTTCATGAAGACTCCTGTAACCTGCACTTGCAGGTGCTCTTGCCCACTAAGTCACCAGAAAGATTGAGTTCAATAGGTATTTCTCAGTTGTAGGGTCGCCTGGCTATGGGGGCATTATTCTGCCTGCACCCCTCACTGTTTTTCTTCTGCTCAAGCCATCTGGTGTCTCCAGGGGCCAATGCTGGGTTATTCCCTCTATTCTCTCAACACTGTTGCGGTTTCGATCTGAAGTGCCCCTCAAAGTCTCCTGTGTTTGGAAGGCGACTGGACTGAGGGTTACTCACCAGTGGGTCCACCCATGGGTGATCTCAGCAGCTGACTGTGCTGCAGAGGTGCGAGAGCTGTGTCACAGGGACACGGCTCTGGACGGTGCATCTTGCTCTGCTTCCTCGCTGTTTCTGCTGGGGAGCCACCTGACTGTGAACTGAAACTGTGACCCAAAATAAATTTTTCCTTTTTTAACTTGTCAGTGTCAAGTATTTTGTCCTACGGACAGGAAAGTGACTAAAACACTCTTTCAGAAGGACTTTGCATATCCTTTTCCAAACCAGCTTTTACTTCCACTCATCACAAGCCGCGGATTTCTGAATCCTGACCATTTGGAGGATTCTGGATGCGATCCTCCTTGGGGCTCCAGGCACAGAGCCACTAGTCTGCAGGATACTTGGATAGTACCCAGACTCCCCAAATCAGTCTTGGGAACTCTTTCCCATGAAAATTCATTCATATTCCTCTCCTCCTCTCCCCTCCCCTCCCTTCTCCTCTCCTCCCCTCTCCTTTGATTTATGTATGAGGCCTTTCCTCACCTGGCCTCCACTAACCCCACACCCCTCACACTCTTTTCTGTTCACTTCCTCAACAGAACATAAGTGACAAAACAAGCCCCCTTCTCCTGCTTTGGTACTCACTGAACCCTACGAGTGCTGCAAACCCTTAAGGGTCTGTCTCCCTATATGAATTCAGCATCTTTCCTCTAGGAAGCGTCCAGTTTGCTAAGACCTCACAACAGCCGTTTGATGGTCTGTAACCTAACTTTCGGGTTCTTGGTCACCACGAGTTCCTTATGGACAGCTTCCAGCGGGATGGTGACAGCCTAGCATAGGAGGAAATGAGATGAGAAGGAAATTAAGCAAGTGACGACAGGAGGCTGTTACCACGATTGGGAAGTTAGGGGATTAGTTTTCTCCCTTTTCTACATTGTCTAGTATACGCATGCCACTACTTTATGTATTTTTTAAAATCAAGGGTTTTTTTTTTTCTTTTGACATAGGGTCTTGCAATGTAGTTCAAGCTGGTCTTGAACTCACACTATAAACCAGGCTGGCCTTGAATTCCTGGCAATTCTCCTGCTTCACCCTCCCAAGTGCTAGGATAACAGATGTGTGTAACCATGTCTGGGTAAAAAGCAATGTATTTTTGGTCGAGGGGTTTAGCTCAGTGACATAAGTGCCTGATTGGCAAACATGAGGTCATGAGTTCAATCCCCGGTACTAAAAAAGAAAAAGAAAAAAAAAAAAAATCAAGTAGTTTGAATAATAAAAAAAAAAACTGAAAGAGTATTAAGATCCAAAATGTACAACACATATTGTAATAATGAAAGAGAAAGTGCTCTGAAGTGTGTAATTGTATGTTTTTAGGTGTGTAAGATAAAACTATACTAAGTTTTTGTTAATTTATAAAACAGAATACTTTGTACTGTCATTGTTTGTCCACTTTTTATGCTTTGATTTTGTAACTTGAACAGCTACTTCTAAGATAACAACATGTAATTTACCACCTACTGATTTTTTATTTTTTTCTCCTTTTTTAAATTTTTTAATTTTATCGGTACCGGGGATCGAACTCATGACTGCCTGCTTGCAAGGCAGGCGCTTATGCCGCTGAGCTAAATCCCCAGCCCCGTGATTTTTTATTTTTTTGAAATTCAGTATTATTTCTACCCTTTTTTGTTTTGCTTTTTTTCTCTAAATAAAAAAAAATCAATATATTTTTAAAATGAGTTAAACTAGGTGTGATCGCATACCCCTATAATCTCAGCACTTGGGAGGCTGAGGCAGGAGGATTGCCCCAAGGTTCAGACCTCCCTCAGTTATATAGGAAGTTCAAGGCCAGCCTGGACTACACGTTAAGACCCTGACTCAAAATCAAACACACAAACAAAAAAGACGTAAATTTCTCCTAGCTAAGTCCAATCAAAGCAGTTGCTCAGGCTTGGCCAGCCTGGGCTACAAAGTAAATTCAAGGCCAACCTGGACTACACAGCAAGACGCTGTCTCAAAAAGTTGTTGCCTAAGTCAAGTCAACCTCAAGTTCTTCTCTCCTCAAGACTCCCCACCTCTGCTTCCATAAATTCTTTGGGACTTGGCAAAGCACAAACACTCACTTCAACATTTTCAGTACAGAGAAGGACCACCCGCACAGACAAAAATTCCTTGGCCTTGAAAAGGTTATACTGCTGTTCTAGCTGAGTGCCAAAACCCATTTTGGGCCAAATGGTCCTCAGAATCTCACTGTCCTCAAAGCCGAACATGAGTGACAAGGCACTTTAAAAGGCCTGGAACTCTGACTGTTGTGTATGACCTTGTCAACTTGAGCCTTCACTGTACCAGGAGGACACAGATGACCTGTGAAAAATTTTCTTGTTTTTACCAAAATGTTAGTGATCTTCTCCAGTAACCAAAATTTCAATCATGCACACTGGCTTATAATTCTTTTAAATTTGTGAAAAACAATTCAACCATATAATGTCCTAACATTTGCTATTATTTTTCCTTTAAGAAAAAAACAACAGGGACTTAACTCAGTGGCATAAGCACCTGCCTGGCAACTGTGAAGTTGTGAGTTCGATCACCAGTACAAAAAAAAACTTGATTAGTCCAAAAATAAAATATAGAGAAAAAACTCAGATAAGAAAACCTCATGGCTTAGAAATCATTACATTGAGGAGCAGCAAGTGTTACCTGACAAATGGCCTTCTATCTTAAATGCATTATCATAAATTTCTTGTGATTTCCCCACTGGTTTTTGAGTTTATGCCAGCTCTTGAAGCAATAACTCAAAAGAAAGCTGGGGGTGTGTGTGCAGATTTTTATACCTGGGCTAGACAGGCCCTGAAGGGATACTGGGCCCTGGCTGAACCACTGCTCAGAAAGGTACCACTTCTCTGACCCCCAAAGTTCTCACACCCAGTCCTGAAGGGGTTGTCTTCACAGTTAAACCCACTGCCAGGATCTGCTGAGGCATTCAAGGCAAGCAAGGGCTCTGCCACCAGGAAATGGTTGCCTGGTCCTGTCAGCCTTCTTCCTGGGGATGTGTCCGCCATGTTGTTGGGCCTTGTGAGGAAGAATTGCCTAGGTCAAGGATAGGGGAAAAGGCTTGGGGGCGTGGGCTGGGATGATGCAAGAAGAGACGGGGAGAGTTTGCTAGGGGAAACCAAAGGACCTAGCAGGCATTTTTGTCATGAGAATGCCTCAGGTACTATCCTATTGCTGGGACCAAATACCTAACACCCACAACAAAGGAAAGGTTAATTTTGGCTCACTGTTTCAGTCTATATTCAGCTTGTGCCAGCACAGAAACAGGATGGTAGAGGGACAAAGCAGAGAGAAAGGAAAGAGGCCAAGGAGGAGACCATATCCTGCCAATGACCCACCTCTTCATTAAGATTGAGTCACTGTGTCAACTTGAGAAGTTTAAGTGACCCAGCAAGAGCCAGGGTGCTCACTCTGTACACACCCTCATCCTGGGTAAGAGCAGGGGTGCACATGATGTGAATGCTGCACCCGCCCTGGGGAGGGGGGGCTTTCCTTCCGCTTAGGCCCTTGCTGTTTCAGTCTTCACTGCCATAAACTGTTGTCTCTGCTACGCCACCCTGCTTTGGAGTCAGCTGATTTTGGACCTAAACCTCCACCAACCTTTCCTTCCTTAATTTTGGACCTCACGTATTTTGTCTCAGCAAGGAGAGAAGAGTAACCAAGACAGCCCCAACTCCTGCTGGCACATTTAGCTCTGACCTCTGCAGTAGGTTCACCCACCTGCAAGTATAGAGACCCCATATCCAACCACCTCCCAAAAGTCCCACCTCTGAATACATGAGGCTCTTAGAGAACATTCTAGGTCTAAAACCCAACAGAGAACAGACTGTAAACAAGCGGTAACAAGGCACAATTTCAGCTGGTTGTGCTGGTGTACACCTCTAACCCCAGCACTCACTGAATTTTAACTCTACATTATTATCGCCTGGAAACTTACCTCGCATAGATTAATGATGTTCTCGCCGTACAGGAGTAGTTAAAAGGGAGAGAAAAAGGTATGAAGGTAAGTCAGGAGGAGTCAGGATCCATTAGCCGCCACTCCTCCCACAGGGACACCATCACAGCCAGGAGACATCTGTTGTGCTTCATCCACCAGTCATTTATTGCAAAATGAAGTTTTGGTTCAGAACAGAAGGGAAATAAGCCCATCAAGGATGAGCTACACTAATTAATGAAATCAACCCGACAGTCAGTAACACGTATATAGCATCAGCTGGAGGTTCTTAACGTCAAGATTTATTAACTCTTCAGATGGTCAGGCTGTACAGAGTTTTCCTCAGATGTGCATTCCACATAGTTGTATCATAACAAAGTTAATTTCTTATAAAATATTATTTCCTTAAGGAGTAAAGGAGTGCGAAAAAGCTCCAACCATAATTAAATATAGTTGATGTACATTTATATGTATTATTAAAGATCTGACGTAAATACATAAGTAACACAGCCAAGTAAGAAAGCTATGACCCAAATGATCATACATTTTACTAATCATCCATAAAATGTGAAAAAATTACATTATATAAGTTGAGCTGATTTTAAGAATCTTTTTTATTAGAAGACAAAAATCTATGTCCATAGACCATTGTTTGAATGAGAGCTATCAGCAGATATAATTATTACCTTAAATCAATCTTATTACCCAAATTACTTTCCTTATTGGTTGACACAGTACCTCTGCCTCCTCAGGACACAGGAAGTGGTCACTGATGACAGCTGGCGGAAGTGATGGACACACAGTGGGAGCGGTAACACTGACCACATGCACATCTAATAACTGTTCCCGTGGAGAAGAGGGCTGATGGCTAAAGTTACCACGTACTTTATCTGTTCTGTCACTTGCTGTCTTTAGCATTAAAGTTAAACATTATTATATTTTCCACAAATGCTTCATGTGATGAAAATGCTTTTTAACCCAAGCTCAGATTATTAATAAGAGAAGGACATTTCATCTTCTTTCTTACTTCCCTGGAATTTGTCAGGCCTGCATTCACCAAATGCACAGAGAGATGAGTCACTGGGAAGACAATCTGACCACACAAGAGCTCTATTTTAAGGCAAGTGTCTTCAGCACATACACACAGAGCAATTTAGCCACTGACGGACTTTATCAAAAGACAGTGCCAAACAGGAAACCAAGGTAAAACTTTACCCATAGAAGTGCCCCCAAGTATAAAGACATTCTCAGTGTACTTATACATCTTACCCATAACTAAATAAAGAATTCTTCTCAAGTTCTTATATGCCCCATAATACCCAAGATTCTGAATTCTAGAAAAAATATTACAAATACTCTAATATCTTTGCAATAAGGCTCTCCATATAAGGCTACCTTTCATATAAGGCTGCTTTGACTTAATTTCTGAAGATAACAAAAATGTGCACCAAAAACTCTATTCTGAACTAAACAGAGAGGTCTTAGTCTTATAAAGGATAGTGAAGTGATTAACTTATTGATCAGAAATAAAATCAGACCAAAATCAAAATTAAAGTCCATTAAAAAAAAGTTTCCAGTAGTGAAGATGGAACCCAGGGACTTGGTAATGAGCTACGTACCTCCCAGTCCCTGCTTAACTTTTTACATTTGAGACCGAGTATCACTAAACTGACGCAGCCAAGCTGGAACTTGAGATCCTCCTGCCTCATCCTTCCCCAGTGCTGGGCTTATAGGCATATGGCACCATGCCTGGTTTTCCTATCATTTTTCAACATGAAATTGAACAACAATGATATAAAAATGGTTGAACCCAAGCATGATGGTGCATCCCTATAATCCCAGCACTTGGGAGGCTGAGGCAGAAAGACTGCATGGAATTCAAGACCACCCTGGGCTACCCTGTGAGTCCAGGGCAGCTTGAGCTCCATGATAAGACCCTGTCTCAAAAAACCAAATTAAACAAACAAACATAAACCTCTGTTGGGCCAGCTGCCTTAGTTGACCTTAAAAAACAAATGACCTTCAAAAAATAAATAAAAATGATTGAATGTATAGATTCAACCATTTTTTAGTGCAAAATAGACATATAGTTACTTTTACATAAACAAGTTAAATAGAATATAATCCATAACACATTATTCATAATATAGCTTAGATATCCACATTATGAGATCTTTACAAAAGTAGACCTAACTTTTACTTTCAGGTTAGAAATGGCCTAACAGTTTATCTTTGGAGATTGATGGCTTTCTAAAATGAAGGACACAGCCTGGTGTGGTGGCTCACGCCTGTAATCCCAGCACTCGGGAGGCTGAAGCAGGAGGATCGTTGCGAGTTCGAGACCAGCCTGGGCTACAAAGTGAGCTCAAGGCCAGCCTGAACTGCGGAGCGAGACCCCGTCTCAAAAAAGACCAAAAAATAAAATAAAATAAAATAAAATAAAAAGGACAATGTAAATCTAAGTCACATGCCACGTGGTGCATTAATGTGCCTGTCATCTGTTTCGGGTCCTAAAAGTGAAAAACGATCAATACTACAAAAAGTGGAAAAATGTACCCCAGATTTCTGTTGTAGCCCAAACACTCACAGGGTCTGTGTATTTTTAATTAATGAGTAGTCTGATGCAATGATATAGTGGTAAAAAGATCTGCTCACTGACTGCACTCATGTCAAAATGCTGTCCTTAAAATGAAAACAGTATTCATTATGCCTGAATACAAAGATAGCCCAATGACAAGATCAGTTTTTTTTTTCATGTGTGACAATCACTATACTCATTTCCAGTACCAAACTCTGTGATGTGAAGAGAAACAACAACAAAACCCAAACTCTGTATTCGCTTAATAATTTAATCAAGCACTCTAGAAAAACGTTGCTCTAAGGGGAAGTCTGGCAGGAACTGCTTATTTAATTTCCAAATTAGATCAAAATAAGAGAAGCAAAATGGGACTGAAAAAATTAAGACTACCTAGATGAATAAATAATAAAAATAGACATTAAAACAGCTGCACACTAAGTAACCAGAGAGGCTCACAACCCAAATCCCACTTGCACAGGGCTGTCAGTGATGTCCTGCTGCAAGGTCACCTGCTCATCCTTAAAAGACAGGAAACACCAAGCACTCACTGGTTCCGATCCCACAGAGCTGCTCCTCTGTAAAAACATGTAGCATCTGAGGTGGGGAAGGGGGCAGAGCTCTAAGTGTAAATGCCAAGTTAAGTAACCCTTTAGTTGAGGAGATCTAGAAATGTGCTTATTTAGTAATCAGCAAAAGATGCCATTGTCTTCAAACATTCCCACTTTACAAATCAGCCACAGCTTCTGCCCACAGAATGATTCACTCTTGTTGTAATTATACGACAAGAGCAATTAGATATTTGAGTAAAATCCATTTTCTACTCTTAAATACATCAGGTAGGTCAATGACGATGACATCTAAGGACCTGCTACTTAATGTTCATCACGTCCAATCCGCAAAACGAAGCAGACGTGGAATAAAAGTTGCTCAGGATGTGGTTCTGCTCAGTGTCACCACAACCACTCCAGGACTTCCAACACCTTCCTCTAAGACAAAGTGTCCTGCCCATGGCAATTTTCCAAGCGAGGGAACAAGACTGGCAAACCTGTGCCCAAATCACTAAGCATGAACATGGCAAGTGGAAAGAGAAGCAACCGGTGGGCTGGGCTGGAGAAGATACGGAGGACAAGCAGAGATGCCACAGGGGTGAGTGGCGCCAATCTGACGCAAGACTCAGAGGCAGGAGGGCAGCAATCAGGACCCCCAGGCTGGGTGGACCTACGCTCCTGTACACGTTACCTCTGGTGACCTCTGTACACCCATGATCCTGATCCCTGGAGCAAACAAGCCTATAAACACCAGCAGCAGGGAGCCGGATTTGTTTTTGTTTTGTTTTTTTGGACAGGGCCTCACCTTACAGTGCAGGTTAGCCTTAAATCACTATGTAGATTGCAGATGAGACTGGATACTACCATGCCAAGCAAAAGTTCTTTGATTTTGGTTTTTTGGCAGTGCTGGGGATGCACCTCAGGGTGTTGTACATTATCCAGTGTTTCTCAGTGAGTTGCAGTCCTGGAAAGACAGTTATAGATATAAATATGAGTAAATATAAATACAGACATTGATATAGCTTTTTGTTGTTGTTTTGGAGATGGAGCTGTCCAGGCTTGCCTTGAACTCTATCCTCACATCTTAACTTCCTGAGAAGCTGGGATTACAGGCAGGCATCATCATGCCAGCTGAAAAGAAAAAAGAAAAGAGGGGGAAGAAAGGAAGAAAGGAATGGAGAGGAAGGAAGGAAGACAGACAGACAAACAAACAGATGAAAGAAAGAGAAAGAAAAAGAATGAATATTTTTAGACAGGGTCTGGCTATGTAGTTCAGGGAGGCCTTGAACTCACTATGTAGCCCAGGCTAACTTCAAACTCATAGCAATCCTCCTGCCTGTGTCGCTTGAGTGCTGGGATTACAGGCATGCGCCACCATGCCCTGCAGAATCAGGACTTCACACTTACCAGGCAGGTGCTATGCCACTGAGCTATATCCTCGGCCCCTAAAAAGATGTATTTTTTAGAAACTGCTGGTTACAAATTTCTTAGGATGATCAACTAGGGTTAGAGATTTATTTTCAAAATACTTATAAGGATTCAGCAAAACCAAAAGAATTACAAACATTAGCAGTTTTTTTTTATTTAAGAAGTTCCTATAATTTTCACTACTCCACAGAATTTAAAAGTTGTGGTTATCATTTAAACATCTGATGACTAATTATTGGGGCTCTTGCTCTTCCCAGGAACATTTGTTATAAACAGTAGTGAATACATGTATTTTATTGCTAAAGCAAAGTATACCTCTTTAAAAGCTGTTTTTCCAAACTATGTATCTGTATCTGCACCAAAGTGTAGGGTCACCAAATCTTGGTCCATAACTCCATTAGGCTTGAGATCCACATTTGCATTGATGATTATTAACATCTGCTCAGTACATTCATAAGAGTTATTAAAAATACAGCCATTAGCCAAGGTCCTTTGAGGCACATGTACAAAATTAGAAAACTAAGTATTCAGTCAAATAGTACATTAGCAACATTACTCATGAAAAATGCCAGTCGGGCTCCATGTACTACAGTCAGTAATGGTCAGAATGGAAAACTTGCCTGTGACCTTCCAACCATTTGGGGATGTGCTATTTACAGATGATATTAAGATTTTCCGTCACTTATTTGACTGTCATTATCTCCTAAAGAACTTTCAGAACAACTGCATTTGTGATAGCAAACCATATTTTTTTAAAAATCTGTGCTTTGTGTTTGTGCAGAGGAGCATCAGGCTCAAGGGAGTTTTCTGGGTGCCCTTGCACCTCGCTGAGGGCACCTCCCGGAGGGAGGCCTGCTCAGGGCCATCTCTGTACTGCAGAGGGCCCTGAACAGCAGTGACACCCATTAGGCAGATATTCCTAAAGATAAAACAAGAGACCCCAAACATCTTTTTGCTACAGATTAAGTGCCAAGTCTTGTTTTTTCGTTTGTTTGTTTGCTTTGCCTTTTTGAGACAAATTCACTATGCAGTTCAGGCTTGGCCTTGAACTCACTTTGTAGCCCCAGACTGGCCTCAAACTCCTGGTGATGCTCCTGCCTCAGCCTCTGCAGTGTTTACAGGGATTACAGGTGTGCACCACTACAGCCAGCAACCAAGTCTTGTTTTTGAGAATCCTTCTTCCTCACCTTAGCAATTCAGTGACATATGCCCATTGTGTGAGTACTAAGGAAAGATGTAGGCTTCAGCCCTTCCAGAAAGTTCTATCAGGCTCACTATGAAGCATCCTCCCAGGCGGGCAGAATGAGGAGTTGAAACATCTTAAATATGGCCTTGCAGGGAGGCTGAGGCACCCTATTCTACACTCTGGCATCCTCCCAATACTCCTAGAACATGTGAGTTTAAGAATTCCAAGTCATGCTGGACGTGATGGCTCACGCCTATAATCCCAGCACTCGACAGGCTGAGGCAGGAGGATCGTTGTGAGTTCAAAACCATCCTAGATACAAAGTGAGCTCAAAGCCAGCCTGAACTGCACAGAAAGACCTTGTCTCAAAAAGACAAAAAAAAAAAAAAAAGAATTCCAAGGTCAAATAATAAAGCACTAAAATAAAATAATCCAAACAATGGAAACAAATCATTTTCTATCTCTTCTGTATTTTTAGGCAAGTAAACCCAAACTCAAATTAACTTGGGCTAATGAAAAGAACCAATTTAGTAGAAACCATCAAATGTGTATCAATTAAAGTGTTTTTTAAAGCCATAACAGGAGCTTGGCTTCAACTTGATTAGTGTCTTGTGGAGATTTACAAAGTTGCATTTAATGGGCTAGGGGTATAGCACAGTGCCTGCCTAGCAAATGCAAAGTTGTGAGTTCCTTTCCTGATACTCCCCACAAAAAAAAAGAGAGACAAACTTGCTTCAATGAGATGTATTTTCCGACACTGACAAGACAACTCAACAAGACAACTCTTTCCATCTGTTCATTAAAACACATTGTTAGAATCTAACACCCTGTAACAACAACAACAACAACAAAACCCTCCATAAACTGGGGATAGAAGAAAACTTCCTCAACCTGACAAAGGGAATCGAGTATCATTAAACACCAATCAGCTGTATTCCTAAATCCTAACAAAAAAATAACTTGAAAATGAAATTCAGGAAACAATTCCATCTACAATGTCAAAAAGAATAAAACACCTAGGAACGGGCCAGGGATATAGCTCAGCAGCTCAGCGCCTCCCTGGCAAGGTGTAAGTTCCATGTGTGGGTACCCAAAACGAAACAAAAACACCTAGGAATACATTAGACCAAAAAAGAGCAAAACACTTGCACATTGAAAACTACAAAACATTGTTGAAAGAAATCAAAGAAGACCTAAGCAAATGCAAAGATAAAAAGACTTTTGAGTTCCTAGAATGGCTAACACTCTACTAATTCTTTTACAAATTCAAAGCAATCCCTATCACAACTGCCTTTTATGAAGAAAAAGCTACATGTCAATCTTAATTTCCTATGATATATAAGAGAACAAGAGTAGCTAAGTCTTCAACAAAGAGGTACTTACATTTGCTGAGTCTCAAACTTAATGCAAAGCTAGTCTTCCGTGTGATTCTGGCACAAAAACACACATACAGATCATTGGAAAGGAAAGTCCAAAAATAAATCCACATATCTATGGTCAGTTCACAAAAGGTAGTTTTTCTTAAACTTTTGTAAGCTATACCTTATAAAAGGACTATCACCCATCATTCGAACGTTTAAATTTTTATCCAAGTCTTCCAAAGTGTTCAGTGCAGTAGTAAATCTTTAGTACTAAAAATTACTGAATTTTAAAAATATAGATAAGAGCTTTAGAAATTTATCTCAAACCAACAAGTCCAAACTTTGCATTTCTGTCCTAGAACAAAAATTCGTGACTTTCATGTGGACCTAAAACCTAAGTCTTACATCAACTTTATGATTTTATATTTTACTTCCAAGTATTTCATATGAAAATGTGGTTACGAGCTGGGCATGGGAGCATATGGGAGGCCGAGGCAGGAAGATTACAAATTTAAGCCCCGCCTTGGCAATTACGTGACTTAGTGAGACCCTTCTTCAAAATAAAAAATAAAAAAGAGCTTGGGATGGAGTTCAGTGCCAAGGTCCTAGGTCTAATCCTAGCATCACCTTCCCGCCCAAAAAAAGTGGTTATGGTTTTACAAGTGAGTTCAGGATTTGTAACTACACTTAACTGCATCTCACTAAAGAAGAAATTTTCTTGTCATCTGTATTGTAGAGAAGGCAAACATGGAATTTTATCAGAGGTACAGTATCAAGCTGTGTAAGATACAGACAAAAAGTATGTTGGTTCAATAAACCGCTGCATATTAATACAAAAGTCACCTGGCATTATTTATGCTTCCTTTCTTAAAAAAACACTTTAGGGGCTGGGGATTTAGCTCAGCGGCATAAGTGCCTGCCTTGTAATCAGGCAGTCGTGAGTTCGATCCCTGGTACCGATAAAAACGAAAAAGACAAAAAAAAAAAGAAAACCAAAAAAACACTTCAACAATACTTCTTACAGATAGCTTCATTCTGTCATTAGTAAAATTATATAATTAATTTGAAAACAATGGAAATAATTGACATTGGGGGGAAGAAGGGAGGGAACCTGCTTAATTTAAACTTACGAGTTTTATTTCAATATACTGCTGCATAAATAAGTACACTGGAGTGCTACTTTAGACACAAATGACATTACATCACTTACTCCTGGGAAGTGAAAGCCAAATAATATTCTCTCTGGCTTTTACCCACTAAATATCATTGATGTTTTGACTATGGTTGGTTCAGTGCTCTATCAACCACAGGATTCCCACCAAAGCTACTTAAATTTGAATTTGTTTAAATGACAGTATAAATGCAGTCGATCAAGTTCACTTCCTAAATGGACAATGAAGTCTACACGAACGGTCACAAGTCTAAGCGTTGACTGAAAATGCTGGGGACAGGTAGAAAATCTGGAAGTTTAAGCACAGCTTAACCACACAGCAGGGCAACAGAATCACGATCCTGGGTGATGCCTCACAAGTCCACAGAAGGTTCCAAAGCAAACGGGCAGCAAATCCTGACTTAACTCGCGGGGTCAGAGCTGGTGCCCATTCCTGAGTACAGGTGAGTTCTAAAACACAGGAAGCAAATCGCCATATGAACGCCCTCCTGACCGAACGAACTCTCCCGGAACGTTCCATTAAAGCTTCAACCCGTGTTACTGCCTACTCAGCTACGGGATTCTCTGCCTCGCTCTTCTAAATAATGCAGTGATGCCTGACCTTAGTTATATATACATGAATGGGTACGCCACTACTAGTTTAAAATCCTGTTGAGAAGCTGGTGATGTAGCTCAGTGGCACTTGTCTAGCATGCAAGCTGCTCTTGGTATCTGATCCCCAGCACTAAGGGGGAGGGGAGGAGCACAGAAGAAAAAGAAAAATTCTATCAAAAACCTGCATTCTTTATGTACCACACTGGTTCCACGTCTTTCCAGACATCTATGGCTTCTAAAAATAATTTTTTAGGGGCTGGAGATTTAGCTCAGCAGCATAAGCGCCTGCCTTGCAAGCAGGCAGTCGTGAGTTCGATCCCCGGTACCGATAAAAAGGAAAACGACAAAAAAAAAAAAAAAAAACTAAATTGGAGGAAGCTGGATACAGTGGCTTATGCCTGTAATCTCAGTATTTGGGAGGCTGAGGCAGAACTGTTGAGAGTTCAAGATCAGCCAGGGCTACAAATTGAGCTCAAGGCCAGCCTGAACTGCATAGTGAGACCCTGTCTCAAAAAGACAAACAATGGCCCATACCTGTAATCCCAGCACTCGGGAGGCTGAGGCAGGGGGAATCTGTGAGTTCAAGGCCAGCCTGAACTGCATGGTGAGATCCTGTCTCAAAAAGACCAAAACAAAACAAAACAAAAACCCCACAACAACAACAACAACAACAAAACCACTCACAAAAACAAAAAACTAAATGACAGGGCAGGTGGGAAAATACCTCAGTGGTGCAGCACCTGCCTGGCAAGCATGAGGCCCTGAGTTCGATTCCCAGTACCAACACAAAACAAAACACAACAAAAAACAACTACATCCCAAATGAAAAAGGAAGTACATACAAAGAGTACTGAATCCAGAGTCTGAATATTAGGTTTCTGGGGCCTAAGGGAACACTAGCACGAACATGTCTAAATCATAACCCACTGGAAGAAACTGTCTGCAGCTACTAAGACCTAGATGCAAGAGAATGAGGTTGACCAGAAGGTCTCTGAGATCCTGTGCCTATTAAAATATTAAGATCAAGTGTGACTGTTTTATTAGATTATTTACTACAAACTATAAAGGATATATATTTATGCAGGGTCAGAGAACTCCAGAAGTGTTCTGTAAAGTTATCCATTAAATTCGAAGTGATAAAGCTTAGTAATAAAATAGAACTAGGAGTTTGGGGTTTTTATTTTCATCTGTATAAAAAAGAGGAAGTCAGGGGTGGTGGCGCACGCCTATGATCCCAGTACTTAGGAGGCTGGGGCAGGAGGATGGTTGCGAGTTCACAACCAAAATAGCGAGACCCTGTCTCAAAAAAAAAGGAAAGAAAGAAAGAATATTTTAACACTTTTAAGAAAGAATTTATAGGTAGCCATAGAAATACATGCTTATAGTCCCAGCACTCTGAAGGCTGAGGCAGAAGGATCACAAATTTGAGCCCCGCTTGGCCATCTTAGGAACTTAGTAAGATCTTGTCTCAAAAATGAAAAAAGGCTGAAAGTGTAACTCAGCGCTCAGCATGAAGGTGTGGGTTCAATCCTGAGTCCCTCGAAAATGAAGGAAAGAAGAAAGAATTGAGTGGTAAGCTTACAAATGTAGAGAACAAATGTCACAACAGTTTCAAACTACGGGGACAACACAGTAGTAAAACAATACGGTTTTGCATTGCTATAGTTCACGTTCACACAGATTCCCTGATTTTGTCTTTCTAATCTCCAAAAATTCCACGCTAGAGAATACAAATCAAGTTACATATAAGATCGAATCATGTATGCTCAAGGTATGGTAAAGTCAAACTAAAGATCTGGGCTTCTTCTATCCTCTTTGGGTACTCTAGTTTAGGGTAGCATCCGACTTACTGTACTGACACAGATCCCAGACTAAGTATTTCCGCCATAAAGACTGAATAGGAAACTCCTAAGACGACAACTAAGAAAAAAGAGCTACTGAATGTTTTGTTGTTTTTTTTTAAAGCAGTAATATTCCGGGAAATGTTACATTTCACAAGATCTCTCTGTTCCTAGAAAGCTGCATCATGCATGAAAACAAAATTCTGAAGTACATTTTTCCATTTATGAATGAAATACTCCATCATGTCTCAGCTTTCTCCTTTGTAAACAGGCGGTTGAACTGCCATTAACATTTATCGCACATGGTATTTTAAAATGAAAATTAGCCTGTGGAAAAGCTGGTGTCGTCGGCAAGTGGGTTCTCACCCATACCTGATGCGTGTGGCTGCACGTGGCTGACCTGTGCATCTCCTCTCCTCTCCTCTCCTCTTCCTCAGAAGCCTCCCTACATCACTCCATAGGTTGTGCGCTAGTGTGCAACAGCCATCATGAGATACGGAAGTGCTGCTCGAGGAATGTCCTAGCTCTCTACAGTGACAATTTACCTGGGGAGACGATATACACAAAGGGTTCCCAGTACTGACACAACTAAGACTTAATCATGTTTTCTTAGTAATATGGAGCTGCTACCATCTCTATTTTTATTTGCATGATTCACAAAGCCTTCATCCAAAGAGGTAAAAATAAATAAATTCATGCCATAGATTTTAGTTATATCAAAATACAATAAATACATAATAAATAACAGAATTTGAGTATTTAAAAACAGAACACAGCAGTGAGAGGTACTGGGCAAAATGAGTTGACATTTATAATGGCTAAAATATCACATAAACTCAGGAAAGAAAATTAGGGAAAAGGAAATGGTTTTTGCTGTCATTACCTTAGCGATGACAAATGCAAAGCAATGTGGTTGGTTAAGACTCTTGTCAAAAACCCGGGGGGGCTATGAGGAATGGACTGCTGGGCATGTTTCTGCAGACCCTGGCCTTAACCCTCTCCTGCACTGCTCTTCTACCTGGAGATGGACTGGCTGATGGCTAACATTTCTAATACTCTTGGTAATTCTTTCCTTGATAAATATATCCAGGTCTTCAGTCTTGTCCACCATCCCCCAACATCTCCCCGGTAAACAGTGTGCACCCTAAATTATTCATGAATCTGTGACTTTAACTTTTCATGTTTATATATGACCTCTACAGCAGTAGGGCAAAAAAGCAAAATTCTAATTCATATTGCTAAACTTTAGCACTGAAAAAATCATCCCTTGTACATTATCTAGTACTAATAATCTAGCCAGATTAATATAGCTTATTACTCAATATTCTCACAAGAGTCGTAGTGTAGCTGTGATTCACAATAGTGAAGATCAGATCAAATAATTATGTATTCATTGCTTTTGGCTGGCTTGAAATTGACTTAGCTACACAGCAACTAGGAGTACAATAACATTTCCTTTTTAATGATAATTCAGTGACAACACGTTAAGTATGACTTTGGTATCAAAAGGCTACAGAAATACTCTTTCATCTAGTAAGTCTTATTAAATTCATGGAGTTTGGGGAAAAGTTAAAAGCAGAAGAAGAAATATGGGTTGTAATACTGATACTATCAACCTACTTCTATTTTCATGTTGGAAATATTCTTGTTTGGACATCTGAATGGTAGGATGATTATCACCTAGTAACAGCAATGAATTATAATATTATCTAACATAATGCTAAACAACATAAGCTCTTGGTACTCTTAAATACTTTTTGAAGTCATTTCAGTAAAGAGATAAAAGAAATCCAAAATGGAAACGAGAATATACTCAAGCCTCCACAAAGCTGTATGACAAGGTGGATAATAGGCACAAAAATAGAGCAGAGGATAGGTAAGTATGGAAGAGCTTTTCAAGTGACATTCTCGTTTGTATCTAGCTCCATTATGCAGTTTAAATTTTGGCCAAATTTTTAAAGTATTTGTTAAACAGTTCTTGCATGTGACATATGTTTCCAGAATACTTCTGACATTGATACGAGAAATTATAAAACATTTAGAAATGAAAATGTTAGTCTCAAAAATAACACCAAAGTTCCAAGCTTCTTCTGAATTCATTAAGATGGAAAACATTTGGAAAATAGAATCATTCTGTTTTAAAGTGTTCAAATAGTGTACTTTAAAAAAAAAAAACAGAAATATGTAATTGTTCAAGGCAAGGAAGAGACCAGTCTAAAGTTAATCCTAAAGTTTACTCTAGGAATCATTACTCTTCCTTGCGGTCTCAATCCCTTTTTGCTCCATAATAAATAAACTGTGCTATCTCTTCCGCTGGGAAGGATAATTTTTATCCTACCAAGATGATGACAATGCCTCTGCAGTGCTCAACCAACAAGAAACGCATGAATGTGAAGTGGCAGCAGCTCTTTCTCTCAAACGACGTGTATGCAAGAATTGATCTGCAATGCATTAATTCAGGAACTCAGCAGAGAGGCTCCTGCTATATCTGGCCGATCTAAACTTGAGCTCATGGTAACACTGCACGAAGCTATGGTAGATGAAAGTGATAGGTAATGCCAACAGAACAATTCCACTAACAACACAAACTCCTCCAAGAATCCTTCCAGGCACTGTGATAGGATACATATCTCCATAGCCAACTGTAGTCATAGAGATAATCACCCACCAGCAGGCAGCGGGGATGCTGGCGAAGTCCTTGTTGGATGTTTCCAGGTCCAACCCATGTTCAAGAAGCTGAGAAAGTGCACTAAAGATTGCCATGGCAACACAAATGAAGACGAGTAACATAACCATCTCTCGGTAACATCGCTTGAGAGTCAAACCGAGTGTCTGAAGACCAATGAAGTGACGGGCAAGCTTAATCACCCAAAAAATCCTCATCATCCTGAGCACCCTCAAGGTGACTCCGGCCCTCTGCAGTTGGGAGTTCTCACCCGTAAACACTGTCATTAGCACGGAGATGTAATATGGCGTGATTGCCAATAAATCAATGATGTTCAGGGGTCTCTTGACAAACTCACACTTGTTTTTGGAGACGATGAACCTCACAATGCACTCCGCAGTGAACCAACCTATGCAGATAGCTTCAATTATCCTGTCAAGAGAACAAAAGAAGAATTGATCATTTTATTTTTAAGCATTTTAATAGCTCTTAGATTTCTTCACATAGTACTACAACGACATACTAATTCAGTTACTTTTCCAGAAAACATAAAGAACAGACAGCATTACCAACATCATTAGAGCCACCAGGACACAACAAGTATGACAGTTCAGATGAGAACTGAACTTGATAGAGCTCTTGTTTATACTATACAAGTAACACCATTAAAATGATCATTTTTTGCACTAATAAATAGGGAAAAAAATCTCTATCTTATATGGTGGTCTGAAATTAACTTCACTTGACCTAGCCACAAAGTGAAATTCCACTTACTCTTGACGGACAGCAGTTCTCAACTGCAGTATCAGTTAGGGAGTGGGTCAGAAGGACTCTGTTCTGCCAATGGTGAACATGTCCAAATTTATTCCTGATAAATTAGAGCAAATGCAACATGATTCTTTCTTTCCTTTCCGAGGCCTGTGCAGGAGATGCCGGAGCTGAGGGAGCTTTCTGTCCCGAGCAAGGCAGAGCTCTGGGTCCCCTCCCCTCATCACGAAGTCCAGAGTGGAAAGAAGGCTGAGGATTCCCAGCGCTGGAGTGAACCACCACCAGGATCTTCCCAGGACCACAACCACTTTCTTTACTGCAATCATCTTTATGTAGCATGTATTTTTAAAATATAAGACCATATTTTGCCTGGAGCTGTATTCACCAACCTTTCTACCCCACTGCGCACACTGGAAATAATTAATATTTATACAGCACACAGGAGCCAAAGAACAGGATTTCTGAAGCAGAAGCCAATACCTTGGGGCCCTGGCCACCCTGGCTCCTGCCATGCACTCTGTAAGGCTGAGGAGTCAGATCTCAGTACACTGGTTAGGGAGCCCTGACCGGCAGTGAGAGGCGACTCAAAGGGAACTGTAATTAATTTAAATCTTTTAAATTCTGTTATCTTTAGTATACCATCACTCATTTCTTCCCACACAATTTGTTGGTACCCAGATCCAACATCAGAAGTCTAACGGAGAGATGCAAGAGTCACAGTAAGATTTACTCAAAGTGCATTCCACAGAACTCAAAGTGCACTGGACATTATTCTGCAAGATGAAGAAATACCAGGTTTCCTTGTTGCAGAGCTTGGCAGGATCATAAAGATTAACTGTATTTTATTACCTTTTATTTCTTTTGTGAATAGGTATTCTATCATATAATTCATATCTATAAATGTATAACAAAATCTGTAAAGATTAAAAGAGAAGGAAACACTGTAGCCAGCTGCGGCAGAAAGAACACAGGTTCAAACCTGCCTGGCTAACCTGACAAAAAAAAAAGACTTTGGCTGTGTAGCACAATGCCAGGTCCCTGAGTTCAGTCCCTAGTACTAGAAAAGAGAGAAAAGGAATTTGAAACAAAGAAAAGAAGGAAAGAAACTCAGTTGATCGGTTAGTCCAGGTCTCATCTTATTCCCTCACCATCTGGTTCCTTCAGTGAAGGCAACAAATACCACTTTTAATAAATCCCTCCAGAGTTACTTTATGCACAACAAAAATGTACGTGTGTGTGTGTGTGTGTGTGTGTGTGTGTGTGTATGTGTGTCTTTTCACCCCTTTCTGTACAACCATTGCCATGCTTTTTGTTCACCTGTCTTGGAAATCACTGAAAACAGAGCTGCCTGATTTCTTAAATACGGTAACACAGTCTTGAAGTATTCTACTGCATGTCTGTACTGTGATGTATTTAACCAGTTCACCTGGTAGTTTTCCATCTCCAATGTCAAAACCAATGATGTAATGAATAGTCTTGTTTCTACATTATTTCATAATAGTACAAATATATCTGTAGGATAAACCTCAGATTTGGAATTCTGTACACAAGATTAAAGGCAATGATTTTGATAACTCCTGCCAAACTACCCCCACAGAGGTTATACTGCATTACCCTCCCACCAGCCACACATGCCAATGTCTATTTCCCACAGCCTCCCCAATGTAAAGTATTTGGAAATCACTGCCACTCTGAGAGATAAAAAGCATTATTTTACTGGGTGTGACAGAACATGCCTATTATCTCAGTTAGTCAGGAGGCTGAGGCAGGAGGATCATAAATTCAAGGCCTTCCTGGGCAACTTGGCAAGACCATGTTTCAAAATAAAACAAAACAGTATAATAACAAGGGCTGGGACTGAGCTACAGCTCAGTTCAGCAGTGGAGCGCCGCTGGGTGTTCAGTCATCAGTTTCTTAAGAAGGAACAAAGGAAAAGAGGAAGGAAGAAAGGCGAGGAGGGACAGACGGAGAAGGAGGGAGGGTGGCAGCATGTCATCTGGAAGAGTGTGGGACATTTATCCAGGCACGTAGGAAAGCCTGCTCGGTGACTCCGTCCTTTGCTGAGTAGGTATCCTTGCACCTACTCAGGTCCGCTACGACGGTCCTTCAGGCTACGCCGCATTAGACCGCTTTTACTTGTTTTCTTTGGGGCTGTTATTCTCTGAAACACCAGAGGCTTTGTCTAGAAATCTGTCTGTAGCAACATTCAATAAACTACAGCCTGTGGTCAAAATCTCTACTTCCCAACGTGAATGTACAACCTAAGAATTTTTTTAAAAATGTTTTTTAGTGGTTGGGGGAGGGGAAAAAAACCAGAATTACATCTCATGACATGTGAAAATATATGAAAGTCACATTTCAGTGGCCATAAATAGTCTTATCGGAACAGCCATCTCACACATTTACACTTTGTTTATAGCTGGTTTTGTTTGGGTTCTGGTGTTTTGAGACAGGATCTCGGTATGTAGTTCAGGCTGACTTTAAACTCACTATGTAGCTTCAGACTCATGGCAATCATACTGCTTCAGCCTCCTGAGTGCTGGTATTATGGGCATGTGCCACCACACATAAACAGCTTAAAACTGTTTTCATGTTTTAATGTAAAGCTGAACAATAATAAGAGATTATGTCTCTGTAAGCCTGAAGTATTTACTATCTGGCCCTTTATAGAAAAACTTTGCCAACCCCTGGTTTAAAGAGGGGGTTCTCAACCAGGTATGATGGCACACACACATCCCAGCATTCATGAGGCAGAAGCAGGAGGATCACTGTGAGTTCGAAGCCAGCCTGAGTAAAAGGAGACCAGTCTCAAAAAAACAAAAGAGGTGGTTCTCAAAATGATAGCCACAGAGATATTCTTCAGATCCACAGGTGCTCTGAGAATGTTCTTCTATGCTTTCCTTTCAAGAATAATTTTTACCCAGGTTTGGTGGTAAATGCCTGCAATCCCAGCTACTTGGGAAGGTGAGGCAGGAGGTTTCTAAATGTGAAGCCACCCTGGGCAATTTAGGGGAACTATTTCAAAATAAAAGATAAAACTGGGGGGTGATTGAGAATACAGGTCAGTGGGAATATAGTTCAGAGAGCTTGCCCAGCATGTGTGATCCTGGGGAGTGGAGGGGAGAGATACAGGAAAAGCCCTGTATATTCTATAATAATTGTTGTATGGTTCTGAGTGACAATACAGAATTCTTGAGTAAAACTATAGCCCCCAGGTCACCTTGTCTTTATCCCTGCCCCAGAGCTGCCACGGAAGCCTTCCTAGGAGAGTTAGGAAAAGAACGCCTCCATTCCTCAGATCCCACGAGTCCTAAAAGTGACATTCAGAAGCTATAGGATGGCTGAGAATTTAGTTTAGCAGCATAAGCGCCTGCCTGGCAAGCCTGAGGTCTTGAGCACAATCCCCAGTACAAAAAAAACCAACCCAGAATCTATAGGATCACGATGCCAAGATGTCACTACTGTCACAAATTCCTCAGGCCACTAGTAACTAGGGCAATAGCCACTGATGGCCAGAACCTAGGCATCAAAGTATATTTGTTCCCTGGGACTATTATAAAAAATACCACAAACTTCACACTTGGCAGCTTAGCACTAGAGCACTTCTTTCTGTTCTGTGTACTGGGGCCTTGTCTCAAGTCCCAAGACTGCCAAAAAAAAGAAGGAAAACAAGAAGTCACCAAGAAGGAAGCCTCCCTACAAATCAGCGCCATGTGTGGGCTGCTGGGGGTATAGCCAGATGCCAGTCCCTCCTGGAGCACAGAGCCAATCCCACCCCCCAGCCTTAAGCGACCAGCTTGTAGTGTTTAGTGTTTCACTGACTTTGCAGGCCTAAAGCCAGCAGTCTGATCATCTATTCAGAGGATGACAATGTACAATGTAGCATCTATGGAGGACCTCCTTCTGAAGGTGGTGGCCATGGTTAATTCCCTATCATCTTGTTTTGAAGTTCTATATCATTTTCATTGTGTTGGTGGGCTGGGTTTTATTCTGTTCAGTCTGGTTTTGGCGTAGGCAGCTATTTCAAAGATAACAAGATACACTGTGATGGCCGTATTGGATTTAATCATCTTGTTTTGGACTTGTTTATTGCATTCATTGTTTTGCTTTTATTGGTTCTATTCTGTTCTGTTTTGTATGATTTTTGCTAAGTCTGAAGGTATCTGCAGCCATTTGGGGGACAACAGGAGACATTATGGCAACCGTTGTTGATTTCCTATTGTTTTGAAATCCTGTATCACTTACACTGGTTTGTTTTGATTGGCTCTATTCTGTTTTATTTTGCTTGGTTTTATTCTCTTTAAAATCAAAAAGAGGGGAGACGGAGAAAATTTACTTTCTCATACAATCCAGAGTCCAGAAATCCAAAATCAGTATCACTAGTCCAACATCAAGGTGGTAGCAGGCCCACTCTCCTTTTGGAAGCTCTAGAGGAGAATTTATTCCTAGCCTTGTCCAGCTGCCGAGGCCACAGTCACTCCAGGCTCTGCCCCCGCAGCCCCAGGTCTCTAGGAAGTGTCCCTGCCTCTTCCTTACAAGGGTAAACCCCACGACAGCACTAGGACTTACTGGGATAATCCAGTAGATTAATTTAATCCCATCTATAAAATCCTCTGTGCTTAATCATTCTTTGGAAATTGAACTCACAGCCTTGCCTGTGGTAG